TGAAGAACAAAACGACAGCAACTTGTCTGTTCCCCTTCCCCCAATTCCCCAGCACTGTTCCCATTCCCCCAATTCCCCCAATAAAAATCTTTAAAAAAATAAAATAAAATAAAATAAAAAAAGAGAGAGAAACATACATTCTGATTATGTCTGACCATTACACCAAGTCTAGATGAAGTGATCAAAATAATTATTAAGAAATGTGCCAACTTTTAGAAAGGTGTTTATCTGATCACTTATTCTATAAGACTGTATACTAGTACAATTTAATTTGCTTGTTAGCATCTTATTTACAGAAACAGATATCTAGAAAATTCTTAACACTACTCTTTAGCTCAACACCTTGAGGGAAGTGACTTAACTGAAGACACCAGTTCCAACACTCTGAGCCCCCGGCCTGCCATGCAGGGACAGCATGACTCAACTACAAATTCAAATCCAGGAATGTGGGGTGCAAACAAACCTCCCCCAACCTCTACAAAGAGTGTTAATAAGCACAAGTCTTTCATTATTATGCAAGCAGCATTTTTATACCTGTATTAATAAATCCTCACCTTCCATGGCCTTCTAATCCCTTTGAAAAAGTCAGGCATCCACATTGGAAGAACAACAGCTTCCCTGAGCAACTTCTTAGCTTCTTCCAGATCTGCTATGTCATCCCTTTGTGAGAACAGCAAAGTTTCACATTTATTCAAGGACACCTGTGATTGATGGTCAATACTAATTCCTTTAATGTTTCTTACTTATGAAATTGTAATATTAAGGACATTACTCTAATTCTTACTGCATAAAATTTGGTCAGTGATCAGATAACACTGCAGTTATTAATTAGGACACGTTATTCCATTAACAACTACTGTCAGTTACGTCAACATCAAATTAACATGTAAAGTATTTTCATTGTATCTGAAAAAAACGACTGTCCTGTCACTTCAACACACTCACATTATGGAAGCAGTCACAAACCGGAGATTAGTGGATGACAAGAAAAGACTCACACCAACCCAACCTATAGCTCGTTTCTCCACTACTTTAATTCAAGAACTTCAAAGACACTAACCAATGAATGCTGGGATTCCTGGAGACGATGTCTCTCTCGAGGGCTTCCACCAAATCCTTGTCATATCCAGCACCATCAAATTTTGGAATTTCACCATCACTTGCACCATCTTGCATATTTTTCCTTCCCTGGGGACAAACATAAGAAAAAGAACTGGTCAATAACAACACAATTTTAATTAACATCATTAAGCTGTAAAAATATTTAATGTAATCACTTAAAAATTAATTTTTGATTATTTTAAGATCGTGTTTTCTGATTACCCAAATGCCATCCTCCCCTATTTAATTCATCAGAAACAGATGAATTGGCCAACTTGATTATACATATACTTCTTCAAATGTATTCTTGGGGGAGTGCTGCAGGTAAGACTAAAACGATCCTTACAAAATACCTCTGAATTTGTGGATGCAGGAGATTCCTACCACCATCAGAGAGTATTTAGAATATTGATGCAGAGGAAGAAAGAAAATTCATTTACTGAGGACCTACTACGTGGCAAGAAATCTCACATATGTTACCTCTGCTATGCTCACAACAGCCCTATGAGGCAGGTGTTATTATTCTCATTTCTACATATAAGGAGCTGGCGCTCCGAAAGGTTGAGTAACTTAATCAAGTTCACAGTAACATCGGAGCAGAGATTTTAACCCAGGTCTTCCTGACTCCCCAACCCCATGGCCCTCCCCACAACCTCAGACACCTAGTGCCTGGCTGAGTCAGCTTAAAGCTTCAGAGCTTGTCTGTACAGCCTATGACATCCTCCAAAGCTGGGAGTCTGGGCTGCAGCTTATAAAGCCTTTTCCCTGTCGCTGTAAGCACCCCTCTGGATTCAGTTTCTTCCTTGTAAGGTCCTGGGGCCATATCATAAAGACACTGTAATTACAATGATAAAAGGACCTTTTTAAATAGTATTATTAAGACCCGTAAAGCAATATACCTTCCCCAAATCTTTATCTAATAAGATGGTGGCTTAAAAAAATAATTATATGCTGTAGTTTCTGTGGGGCTTTGCCAAGGTTTACTCAGCTCTGGGGAACTTTAAATGAAATGTGCTCAGTTGTCAAAGAGAGTTCAACCACTGGGCTGCTTCAGTGTCTCCCCAGAACTCTGCCCCACAGCTACTGTCTACTACAAAATATAAAGGGGATACGGTAAAAAAAAGGAGTCCATTTCCTAAACTTAAACCTGGAGAAAGAGAACAGGATGAATCTCTCCTACCATACTTCATCGGAGATAAACCATAGGCTTTATCATAAATGCTGAGGGGGACTAAGTGGCCCCTTGGCAAATGTTCTAGCTCAGTACACCACCAGGTAAATGACCAAACAGTATTTTAGTGATGCGATCAAAAAATGAATAATTTACTGTTTCTGGATAGCATGACAATAGTATTAAACTAAGATTTCAGAAAGATTCTTATATTTCAGATGACAGACACCAATACTGACACCATTTAAAAAAGTGCATTTCCGGTATCCTTACATAACAAACACAACATCAACAAATTTAAAATAACCTCAGCCTAGAACCACACTTTATAATACAGATAGGCCAAGGCTACAGAGTCACATTCAAACAAATCATTGGGAACACTCTGTAATCATTTAAAAACTCTTCTAGGAATAAATCAACTAAAGAATGCAACAGAAACTAATATGTCTGGGACTTAAGCCTTGATATGGCACTGAAAATTGAGACTTACCAAAAAAATCAGTCATTAAAATGTAAGCAGACAGCCATTTTAATATGAATGGTCATGTGGTAGGAGGACCTGGTGAGCTTGCCAGGGGAAGGGAGAAGCTGACGCCTCCTGAAAGTGAGGGGCGCCCAGAGGATTTTAAGCAGCATGTGGGCATCTATGTCCAGCATGTTTTATTCAGCCTTAGGTTTTTGATCAGTGAATGAAAGACACTGTCTGTCCTCACCAACCATCTAGTCTAGTGGGGGGAAACAAGTAACAAGCAAACAGACCCATAACACACATAATTATAAATGTGAAGTGCCATGAAAGCATTGAGAGGTCAGTGTGGCTAAAAGACACTGAGAAGGGAGAGGATGGAGAGGTGGCCCACGAGGAAGGGCTTGGACTTTGTTCTAACTGCACACGGGAAGCTTGGAGAAGTTGTGGAATGGCAGGATCTGGTTTACATTTTGAAATGCCCCGTGGCCACTGTGTGGAAAGACGGGGTGGAGGGAAAGGAACAAGCAGAGAAAGAAAAGCCTGTGGCCATACTCAAGGCCAAGCCTCTCCACCCACAGAAGAGGACATGTGGGAATAAGCCAGTCAACTGACTGGCCCTACGACTCAAAATCCCTGAGTGGTACAGATGAGAATTGAAAACAGGTTAAGCACTCCAAAGAAGATTCAAATCAAAATGGTGAGGTTATTAAAAAACAAATTCAGGAAAACTAAAAATAAAATTTTCTTACATTGGGAAATCAACAAAATGGGTGACAGTTATCCTTCATAACAAACACTCAGATAAACTGGAATAGTGACATTGAATATAAGTAACTGCGTTGGCAGTTAACCAGCTAGATTAACCAGTACACCTAAAAGAAACTTTTCAGGCAATAAAGCTTACCTCACCAAAATACTATTATTACCTGTACAGTTTGTACTAATAATACTAGCTGCAATGTCACTGAAATGATCTTAGAATTCTTTGCTTAGATTTTAACTGACAATAAGGTCAACATTGACAAGAATTTGATATTTAGCATGAGGGCTGATACTTTTTTTCTCGTTAAAGGAAAATATTTTATCTTCTTTTTACTAATATCTAAATTACCCATATCAAGAAACATTTGTGAATGATCTTTCATTAGTATTGGCTAATCATTCTATCTGAGGAAAATGAGACTCAAGTTAGTGGCTTAACCAGTATTACAAAGCCAATCAATGGCCCAGCTTGGCCTAATGCGAGTAATGGTTTTGCACGTTACTGTGTGCCTTCTCCCGTTGGCAGATGCAGTGAAACATGGCCAGTTACTAGCTCTAGGCCTTGCATTTCAAGGAAAATACTGACGAGTGAATTATACCCAGAGAAGCATGACCAGATTAATAAAGGGTTCAAAAGCCATGTCACATGTGGGAGGACCAAGGACACTAGAGATGTTTAAGCTGAAAAAGAAAATGCTAATGGAGCAACACAACCAACCTCTATTTATTCTATTTTCTTCAGAGAACCAGGATCAATATAAAGCAACAGAAGAGGTATATCAACAAAAGAAAGAATTTTCTAACAAGTTCTGTCCAACAAAGGCGTTCTCTCTCTTGTTAGGCAGTGAGCGACCCAACCTCAGAATTACAGGCTAATCAGTAATGAGACTCACTGGCCCACAGCCGAAGGGATGTGTAAGCTGAATTATAGCTGACCTTTGGTTCGCCCACTTACTCATCTGTTTCCTGAATTCAATAGCCCAAAGGACCTGCAAAATTTCCTGGAAACCTCATCATTTCTTTTTTAAAATACTTGTCTGTATTCTGTATCATGTCTGTGTTAGCTCCCCACCTTCCTGTTACCCTACAGCCAACATTCGTGTACTGCTTACTCTGTACCAGGCACTATTCACAGCACTTGACATAACCGTCTTTAGGGTCCTTTGAGGTAAATACTCTCACTATTTCCATCTCATACCTGAGAAAACTGAGGCACAGAGAGGTGAAGTAAATTGTCCAAGGACACACAGAAAGGTCGCAGGCAGCCTGGCTCTGAAGCAGTGCCTCCAACCGCTCTGCACCCTGACATACTGTAAACACTTTCAGCTACTCCTACCCCAGCGTGAGAAGCATTCACACGGAAAGCCAGGCAGAATCACTAAATAGCGTCCCACTCCAAGACTTTATTATTTTACAAGAAAAGCAGGTTGATAAATGCAGAACAGAACAGTGCTTACTAATTTCAGGGTCATGCCCTGCATTGGCGTGTTCACACAAAATACATGTACGTTGACATAATGAATCCATAGCATTCCACATATTTATCAACGTAAGTATTCTTTCAACAATATTACAAATACTTACTATGTGCAGGCACTATTCTAGGTACTGGGGAATAGCTAGGAACCGAACAGACAGAAATCCCTGCCCTCGTGGGGTATACCTTCATGCTAGGGGACAAAACACATAAATAAGTAAAATAATTAGAGGCAGAATAGCAAGTAACTACTAGAGTCTACCTCAATAACATAAAAAAAAAGTAAAAGTAAAAACCCAATACTATAAATTAGCTGCCACCAGTGAAAGAATTGCTGGAGTGATTTAATATCAAAGGACAGAACAAGACATTTCTTAAGAACAAGTCACTGTTAATATAAATGGCTGATAAATGTATGAAAGAATTTTGACCTCCTAAGTTATCAGGTAAATACACAAGAATGGTTGATGGGCTGGCAAAATCACAAGGAGATATGATTACCCCCACAACAGAGAAACAATATCAAGTGTTGGTGAAGGTGTGACACAAGCAGAAGTTTCATGCGCTGCAGGTAGGATCACCTGGCAAAACTATTTGGTGTTATCAACTAAAGTTAAACATACAAATACCCTACGACCCATCGAATTCCACTCCTAGGTATATGCTCAGTAGAAACGCTTGCACATATACACCAAAGGAAAACTATAAAACTGTCCAAAGCAGCATTACTAATAATAGTTCCAAACAAAAAGCAATCCAAATGTCCATTAACAGTGAAGCAGATTTAGCTGTGGCATAATACTGTATATTAATGAAAATAAGCTTCAGACATATGCAACAGCACAGAGGAATCTCATCAATGTATGTTGAGCAAAAACAGCCAAAGAATACTTACTGTACATAAGGCTTCTAAATGGGCATCCCTAATTTATGGTATCAGAAATCAGGATAGCGGTCACCTTCGGGAAGGAAGTAGCAGGGATCTGGAGGGATCATGAGTATGGCTTATGAGGAGCTAGGTGCTCTGTCCTGGACCCTTGCATGATAGTTACATGATTACATGGTGGTTACAGGAGTTACATGCACTGGTGTGCTGACACTCTTACCGGTTTGCAAGACCTGATTATTCGGCTTGCAGTTCTATGAGCCAGCTGCAAAATGCAGCTACTAATGAAAATTAAATTATACAAACTTAGAATAAATAT